GAAAAGGAGAAGATTAATTGTGTGTCGTCTCCGTAGCAATGATAGGAGAGACCATGTGAGATTATGACAGAGCCAAGTGACTTGGTGTATAGAGAGAATAGGAGAGGGCCTAGAACTGAGCCCTGGGGGACACCAGTGGTGAGAGCATGTGATGCGGAGACAGATTCTCGCCACGCCACCTGGTAGGAGCGACCTGTGAGGTAGGACGCAATCCAAGAGTGAGCCACGCCGGAGATGCCCAACTCGGAGAGGGTGGAGAGGAGGATCTGATTGTTCACAGTATCAAAGGCAGCAGATAGGTCTAGAAGGATGAGAGCAGAGGAGAGAGAGTTAGCTTTAGCAGTGTAGAGAGCCTCCGTGACACAGAGAAGAGCAGTCTCAGTTGAATGACCAGTCTTGAAACCTGACTGGTTTGGATCAAGAAGGTCATTCTGAGAAAGATAGCAAGAGAGTTGGCTAAAGACGGCACGCTCAAGAGTTTTTGAGAGAAAAGAAAAAAGGGATACTGGTCTGTAGTTGTTGACATCGGAGGGATCGAGTGTAGGTTTTTTGAGAAGGGGTGCAACTCTCGCTCTCTTGAAGATGGAAGGGACATAGCCAGTGGTCAAGGATGGCTATGTCCCGGAAATGGTCTGGAGTAGAGAGGAGGGGATAGGGTCAAGCGGGCAGGTTGTCGGGCGGCCGGCCGTCACAAGTCGCAAGATTTCATCTGGAGAGAGAAAGAAGTCAAAGCATAGGGTAGGGCAGTGTGAGCAGGACCAGCGGTGTCATTTGACTTAATAAATGAGGATCAGATGTCGTCAACCTTCTTTTCAAAATGGTTGACAAAGTCATCAACAGAGAGGGAGGCGGGAGGGGGAGGAGGATTCAGCAGGGAGGATAAGGTGGCAAAGAGCTTCCTAGGGTTAGAGGTAGAGGCTTGAAATGTAGAGTGGTATAAAGTGGCTTTAGCAGCAGAAACAGAGGAAGAAAATGTAGAGAGGAGGGAGTGAAAAGATGACAGGTCGGCAGGGAGTCTAGTTTTCCTCCATTTCCGCTCGGCTGCCCGGAGCCCTGTTCTGTGAGCTCGCAATGAGTCGTCAAGCCACGGAGCAGGAGTGGAGGACCGAGACGGCCGGGAGGATAGGGGACATAGAGAGTCAAAGGATGCAGAAAGGGAGGAGAGGAGGATTGAGGAGGCAGAATCAGGAGATTGGAGGGAGAAGGATTGAGCAGAGGGAAGAGATGATAGGATGGAAGAGGAGAGAGTAGCGGGAGAGAGAGAGCGAAGGTCGCGACGGCGCATTACCATCTGAGTAGGGACAGAGTGAGTAGTGTTGGAGGAGAGCGAGAGAGAAAGGAATACAAAGTAGTGGTCGGAGACTTGGAGGGGAGTTGCAGTGAGATTAGTAGAAGAACAGCATCTAGTAAAGATGAGGTCAAGCGTATTGCCTGCCTTGTGTGTAGGGGGAGACGGTGAGAGGATGAGGTCAAAAGAGGAGAGGAGTAGAAAGAAGGAGGCAGAGAGAAATGAGTCAAAGGTAGACGTAGGGAGGTTAAAGTCACCCAGAACTGTGAGGGGTGAGCCATCCTCAGGAAAGGAACTTATCAAGGCGTCAAGCTCATTGATGAACTCTCCAAGGGCACCTGGAGGATGATACATTATAAGGATGTTAAGCTTGAATGGGCTAGTCACTAGTGACTGTGACAGCATGGAATTCAAATGAGGAGATAGACAGATGGGTCAGGGGAGAAAGAGAGAATGTCCACTTGGGAGAGATGAGGATTCCTGTGCCACCGCCCCGCTGACCAGATGCTCTCGGGGTATGCGAGAACACATGGTCAGACGAGGAAAGAGCAGTAGGTGTAGCAGTGTTTTCTGTGGTAATCCATGTTTCCGTCAGCGCCAAGAAGTCGAGGGACTGGAGGGTAGCATAGGCTGAGATGAACTCTGCCTTGTTGGCCGCAGAACGGCAGTTCCAGAGGCTGCCGGAGACCTGGAACTCCACGTGGGTCATGCGTGCAGGGACCACCATGTTAGAGAGGCAGCAGCCACGCGGTGTGAGGCGTTTGTATGGCCTGTGCGGAGAGGAGAGAACAGGGATAGACAGACACATAGTTGACAGGCTACAGAAAAGGCTACACTAATGCAAAGGAGATCGGAATGAAATTAACTAAACATCTGGGGAAGCGAGGCCTCCCTCACTAACCTTTCACTGAAACACTCAAATACAACTCTTCCAACTTCCACTTTAGAAATTATAATTGCTGTAATCTACAGTAGTTCAATGTTTCCAGGAATAGACTAACTTAGTTTATTCAGCTAGCTAACTTGGTACAGTATTCTTCTGTGAAAACCATCCAGGGCACCGTATCCTATGATGCCATAGCTAACTAGCATGCTAGCATCCAATAACACACGGTTTAGCACCAATACTTGGTTACAACAAACTACCAATTCATGTCCGTGTCTAGTTCCTTTCATAATGCAGAAGTAATTAAACGTTGGCTAGCTAGTACAAAGTCAGTCATGCTAGCTACACAAGTGGACTACACATCTCAAATGTTCAGAAAGTGAAGCTTACGTTGCAAAATTCTCATTGACTAAAATGATACAGTACTGCTAGCTGGTAATGTTGGCTAGCTAGCAGTGGCTGCGGTGTTGATGGTTTGAAAATGTAGCTGGCTAGCTAACCTCGATAGTTTCTCTATGTGGTCCTCTGTAGCTCAGCTGGTAGAGCACGGCGCTTGTAACGCCAAGGTAGTGGGTTCGATCCCCGGGACCACCCATACACAAAAAAATAAAAAAAATGTATGCACGCATGACTGTAAGTCGCTTTGGATAAAAGAGTCTGCTAAATGGCATATTATTATTATTACTACTACACCTTTGTCTTTGATACCAAGACAACTATGCAGCTAGCTAACTTTACACTAATCAAATCGTTCCGTTGAAATGTATTTAGTTGCTAGAGTACTGCTAGCTGGTATAGTTGGCCAGCTAGCAGTGGCTGCGGTGTTGACTTAGTATGGAAAATGGCGTCGCTGCGAACGAATGTAGCTGGCTAACATTACACTAATCAAATCAAATAGTTCCGTTGTAATGTATTTGGTTGCAACAGTACTAATAGCTGGTAAGGTTGGCTAGCTAGCAGTGGCTGCGGTGTTGACTGCTAGCTGGTAAAGTTGGCTATAATAACTACCTAGATAAAACTATCTACAATACCTACCTACAATAATTACAGGTACTCTTAAGCCTGAAATAACATTGGAAACAACTATCCACAGTTGCTAACAGTTACCAAATTACCAGTAGCTACAAGCTAGCTAGCTAGCTAGCTTTATTGGTCCAGGTAGTGGGTTAGCTAGATAGCCTCGTGCTTCACCGGGCTCAGCCGAATACACTACAATACCTACCTACAATCTAAATGCATGGTTTAAGCTTTACTCAACACATAAAGAAGAAGCCAAGCTTACCTCCCCGCTTAGAGGAACACAACATCACCATCGCTCCAGCCGTCTGGTGTTCGAATCTAGAAAATTCTCCGTTATTAAATTCAATAATTGATTTGGCTCCATGTGTATGCCTCCATCTTGTCTATTTCAAATCTTCTCTCAATGATCGAGACAGTGTCATCATGACATGGAGCACTTTGGGGTGGCCACCCACCTGTCTCAATCAATGAGAGAATATTTGAAATAGACAATATGGTGGTGTATACATAGTTGCCATAGGCATCATTAGGCCTGGGCTTCCGGGGATACAGCCCTGAATGTTTTGGTCCAGCCTCTAACTTTTTGATGGTCAGAGAATTTTGAAATTGCAGGATGTACATCTGATATGAGTTTGCATAACAGTGCATCACTAACAAGCTAGGAAGTGTGTCATAGACAAACTGAGCACAGCTTTGTGTCATGGTTTCACCAATACTTTACTGAAAACCTTGTATCTAGCCCAAACTGTTCAAAAGCTATGTTTTTTTCTATCGAGAATTCGCAGGAATCATTTGATAAATTAACCATGTCCCAGGCAGTCTCAAAACCAGGCTACTCGTGGACTGCTAACTAGACTATTTGTTTGATAACAAACAAGCTTGTTCAGTCATGTTAAATTATTACCTAATAACTGGACAGGCACAAATTTGGTTAGAGATGGCACATGGAGAAAGAGATTATGAACCCAAATGTCTATACGTTTTATTCTAGTTGGGTGGAGTGGGGAAAAAAATTAAGACATAATTTGGGCTGGGTGTAGCCCGACGTAGATTTAGGCTATGCAATGTTCTCTTCAGGAGACTTTCTGTTTTTATTTATTTCATATTAACTGATGTAAGTCAGTGGAACAGTCAATGATAACCATTCCTATTTCTTATGATGGGCTATCATATTATAGGGTAATCTTGTCAGCAAGAACAGTATTGTTATTCCTCATACTTATTTTATTCACTACTTCCAAATTTTGCTTATTTGAAATGGAATATACATGTGTCTTTGAAAATAAATTACAAGAGGCTATGCATTTTTGTAGGCATTCATGTAGGTAGGCTAAGTCATGGATATGTTGATTGCAAACATAATTTCAAACCTATATTGCAGTGTGCTGATGGCGCTGTCTGTGCAGATTGGAACCTATCCGACTGCAGTTCTAAAGCCCACAACAAGCCATTCTACGTGGTAGCGGAGAGCTTCAAGTTCATCCGTCTCTACCCTCTGAACCAGAAGGACGTCTCGGACAGATTTAAGGCGAGAATTAACCATTCAGAGCCTGTCACCACTTCAGAGCAGGGATGGATTATAAGATATGTTGTGCCATGTGCTGATTCACATTAACGTGTGACTTGAGCAAACTGACAGATAATGTCAGAACAAAATCCAAGTTGAGAAACTATCACAACTGTTTCTGTATTTTCTCTCTGGTGTCTAACCCGTCTCTCTTCTCTCCAGTACAAAGCCAACACCCTGAAGACTGTTTCTAACATGTCAGAGGAACACTCCATGATCAACTACACCCATCCCTACCTCCCACGCACCTCTTCAAAGACCTGGGGGTCCTCACCCCCTCCACCATCAGCGATGAACTTATCAAACTTTATATAGAAGTGCCTTAAAACAATAAAACTCAATAAAAAACACTCAATGGGAGACTGGCGTATCAGTTTGGATCTCTATAGATTGTTAGTTACAAAATATGTCTATGCACATAACTTTACACTGTGTACATATAACTGTTCTGAAAAGCAATGTATTTCTCTGGGTCATAACAGAGGAATCGATGCAAAACAGATGGCTCTATTTTTAAAGTGTGTGCCAAGTTCCATGAGTGGTCCTGCTCCATGTGTAACCAGCCGTGTTTCCCCCCCCTGTGGCTGTTCTCTAGGTGGTGTACAAAGCCCCCCCCTAAAACACCATCCAGGGCCTCTGGTATAAAAAATGTCATGTCAAACCGGCCATGTTCTCAGGATCAACAGAGCAAGGTGGGAAGATCCGCCCTGCTGACATAGTGGCAGGGAAAACACTGACAAGTGTTATGTCTCATGACAGGTGTGTTTCATGTGTCCTGCTGAGCTGTGTTGGTCCTGCTGGAGTCTGTCCTGTCACCTGTTTCTCAAAGTCCTCCTCGCTGATCTGTCCCTTCAGCCTATTCAGAAGATGAGTGTCTTCCAACAGCTCCTTCATGTACTCATCGTCCATATCCGAGCCCTGAAGAGAACAAAGTCATCTGATCTGCTTATTTTTTCTGCATATTTTCTGTTCCAATGTAAAAAATGTCCTAGAAGCATAATGTTATAAATAACTGAAAACTGAATTAACTAGCATGATTTGACAGTTGAACGCAAGGGATACAATCACAGACAGTGTAGCTCAACTGTAAATAAATACCTCATCCTGGTTCCTCTTGGCAGCAGTCCTCCTACGGTCCTTCCTGTTCTTCTGGTTGGACCAGGCTTTGTTCTTATCGTTGTTTCCTGGGAGCAGCGGCTCTCTCCTCTCCTTTCCTTCAGCTCAATCAGCAGCTTCTGCCTCAGCTTCTCCCGCTGCTTGTCCTTGTAGCGGATGTTGTCTGTGTCTATGGTCGTTTTTTTGAAGTCTGGGAAGTTCTTCCCTTTCAGCTCAGGCATCCTGGGCATGCGGAGGAGGGCGAAGCCACGGGCCAGTGCAACAAAGTTCAGGTCTGACCAATGACGGGAGGATGACATTCACCTCAGCATAAACAATCTAACAGCACAATCATCATCATCCTATTTGAGGGTCAGTACACAGGGAAGGTGCAAGGGATTTCTTCTGACCTTTGACCCTGAAGATGAGGCTGCACTCGTTTGGCATAGGCCTGTACGGTGGAGATGAAGGCCCTCATTCCCCTGTCAAACATGGCCTGGTCTGCCAGGGCCTTCACCTTGGGCAGAACATCCACCACGTCACTCACTGGGGCCATCTGCTCCAGAGGACACTAACAGGAAACAGGGAGGGGCAGTTTGGTTTTAAATGGAAAGAGCATGAAAGGCAGGAGAGATGGAGAGGGATGTAGAGAGAAACAAAAGGCATACCTTCTGGTTGATGGACAGGAAGTAAGTAAGTAGAATACTACAAGTAGCTGTAGTCAGGGTGAGACAGTTTAACATGGACTGTGTAGACAGGATACATACCTGAAGAACACCAGCTGTTTCTCATGTTTGTGCTGTCTGAGAAATGCTACCAGACTGTTAAACTTGTCCTCCACTCTGCAGATCTGACAAACAAGACATGGAAAATGCCGCACACTGCTGCTCATGCTCCCAGGTGATATTTATTTATAACAATGTTTCGACCCTTAGGTCTTCATCAGGCCTCCATATCCCAGGTGGGGGTGGAAGGTCCTATATATATATATATATATATATATATATATATATATATATATATATATATATATAGGGGCAGTACTCAGTGACATAGGTTCACAATATTAACATTCAATGTATCAAAATATATGATCATATACATGGAATGAAATCAATATTTGCAGTAATATACATACAATGTTCAATTAGGATTTTAAAAACTATAAAAACGGTTTCAAGTCAAACTCCTCGTTAAGGCCAAGAGGAGACAGTGTGTTGAGCCTGTGGATCCAGAAAGATTCCCGTTAAATACGTTTCCTCTTAATGTCCCCTCCCCTGCGTGACTGGAAGGGTAAACGCCAGCCCAGCCGTAATCCTAGAGGGCCACTAATGTGGCGATCAACCAACTCCCTCACATCTGACTCCATTGACCAATCCAGAGCGTCTTCTTTTTTGGGGAATCCCAATGGACGACGTCACGACCACTGCTTCCCCGCAAGAAATACAGGAGAGGATTATGTAGGAAGACGCCAACACCCGAAGTCCCCGCCACATACACGGAGCAAGACACGGTAATTAACTTGTCCAACAGGTCTATATCTGACACATCTTCATCTGCCCTAGGTAAGGGACTATCATTTGTCCCAACATCACAGGCCAATGACTTTGATACAGTTATAGACTTTCAAAAGTTTTTCCGCAGTTTGAGATTGACTGAGTTTTTTGGTAATGGGTTTGCTCACTATACACCTGCCAATGTTAATCTATTGAACGATATTAGTAACCAGACAGGTAATGGTGCTAATGTTTTTCCCATTGATAACCTGAATGACAGTGAACCTTACTCTCGCCCTGAGGACATGACAAGGGAAAATACATATTTTAAGAGGAAAAGCACATTTTTACCACCTAAAAGAAATCCCTCTCTTGAAACATATTGCCGCCTAGTTGAGAAAGATGTACATAATCTCCTGGCTAAGAAAAAAGAATACAAGGTATTCCATAATATGTCCAAAGCAGAGAAAGAATCTCTTATGGAACTCAAAAATGACTCCAGTATCACTATAAAACCTGCTGACAAAGGAGGTGCAATAGAGATACTAAATGCAGCAGACTATGAAAAGGAAATTCTGAGAAAACTTAGTGATGAAGAATTTTACAAAAGACTCCCTAAGTACTCTACGAATCAATTCAGGTCTCTGATCCATGATAAATTGTCAAATTTTTTGAATGAAGGGGAAATTACAAAGACAGAATATGAGTATATGACAGTTGACTGCCCAACCACACCTGTCATATACGCTCTCCCCAAAATTCACAAGAGCATGACACCACCTATACCAGGCAGGCCCATTGTGAGTAGTAACGGATCTCTGACAGAGAATATCTCTACCTTTTGTAGACTATGTTGTGAAACCCTGGGCGATCTCCCTCCCCACGTATACCAGAGACTATTGATTTTATTACTTTTTTGAAATCTGTGGACCATATACCTGAGAATTCTATTCTGTGTACTTTTGATGTTACCAGTCTATATACTAACATCCCCCATCATGGTGGCCTAGAGGCCCTCAAGTTCTACCTCAATGAATGTCCCTCTAATGCTCTTCCCAGCACCAATTGTATTGTGGACCTGGCTGAACTGGTATTAACCTCCAACTATTTTCTCTTCAGAGGATACTTTTTCCTCCAGACCAAAGGGACAGCGATGGGGAGCACTATATCTCCTAATTATACTAACCTACAGTTGAAGTCGGAAGTTTACATATACTTAGGTTTGAGTCATTAAAACTCGTTTTTTCAACCACTCCACAAGTCGGTTAGTTTTGGCAAGTCGGTTAGGACATCTACTTTGTTCATGACACAAGTAATTTTTCCAACAATTGTTTACAGACAGATTATTTCACTTATAATTCACTGTATCACAATTCCAGTGGGTCAGAAGTTTACATACACTAAGTTGACTGCGCCATTAAACAGCTTGGAAAATTCCAGAAAATGTCATGGCTTTAGAAGCTTCTGATAGGCTAATTGACATCATTTGAGTCAATTGGAGGTGTACCTGTGGCTGTATTTCAAGGCATACCTTCAAACTCAGTGCCTCTTTGCTTGACATCATGGGAAAATCAAAAGAAATCAGCAAAGACCTCAGAAAAAAAATTGTAGACCTCCACAAGTCTGGTTCATCCTTGGGAGCAATTTCCAAACGCCTGAAGGTACCACGTTCATCTGTACAAACAATAGTACGCAAGTATAAACACCATCGGACCACACAGCCGTCATACCGCTCAGGAAGGAGACGCATTCTGTCTCCTAGAGATGAACGTACTTTGGTGCGAAAAGTGCAAATCAATCCCAGAACAACAGCAAAGGACCTTGTGAAGATGCTGGAGGAAACAGGTACAAAAGTATCTATATCCACAGTAAAATGAGTCCTATATTGACATAACCCGAAAGGACGCTCAGCAAGGAAGAAGCAACTGCTCCAAAACCGCCATAAAAAAGCCAGACTACAGTTTGCAACTGCACATGGGGACAAAGATCGTACCTTTAAAAATAAAAACATATTTTTTTAAATATTGTTTTTAGGGGGTAGATCAGCTTTAATATTGCAGATAGATTGTAACTTCCATCAATGTAATTGTCTGCATCACTTCCAATACCGCATGTTTTTTTTCTCTCGCATATATATATATATATATATATATATACACACACACACATATCCTTTAAAAATATACATTTCCCTTTATTACGTTCCAACCCCACCACCTCTTCCCTAATTGGAGTAAACAACAATGCTTAGGCCTCTACTTCCAGCTTATACATACATGTACATTGGAATAGAAATGGTCAAGATGTCACGCAGGGGAGGGGACATTGAGAGGAAACTTCTTCAATGGGAATCTTTCTGGATCCACAGGCTCTTGGACTTAACGAGGAGTTTGACTTGAAACCATTTTTATAGTTTCATTATGTCCAAATTGTGTGTTAAAAAAAAAATCCTATTTGAGCATTGTGTGAATATTGTATGTATATTACTGTAAATATTGATTGCATTCCTTGTACTGTATATGATCATATATTTTTGATACATTGAATGTTAATATTGTGAACCTATGTTATACATTTTTTTTACCTTTTGTTTCAGGAAGTGATGTCAGAGTACTGCCCCTTATATATACACGACCTTCCACCCCCACCTGGGATATGGATGCCTGATGAAGACCTAAGGGTTGAAACGTTGTTATAAAAAATATCACCTGGGAGCATGAGCAGCAGTGTTCGGCGTTTTCCTTTCTGTTTTTCATGAATTTGCCTACAACTCCAGC